AGAAGAAAACCCCAAAAATGGCAGGCAAAAAGAAATAATAAAGGTTTGAACAGAAATAAATGAACTATAAAATAAACTAACGTAACAGAAAATAAATGAAAGCAAAAGCTGATTCTTTGAAAAGATTAACAAGATTGACACACCATTGGCTAGACTGACCCAGAAAAAGAAAGAAAGAAACCAGATAAATCAAATACATGATGAAATAGGCAATATTACAACAGACAAAGTAGAAATACAAAATATCATGGAAGAGATGGACAAGTGCCTGGATGCATATAATCTACCAAGATTGAAGCAGGGGGATATAGAAAATCTGAATAGACCCATAACAAGCTAGGAGATTGAATCAGTAATAAATAACCACCCGACAAAGAAAAGCCCAGGTCCAGATGGCTTCACTTCTGAATTCTACAAAACTTTTAAGTAAGAGTTAACCCCTATCTTACTAAAATTATTTCTAAATTTCAAAAATTCAAAAGGAAGGAAACCTTCCAAATTCATTTTAGGAAGCCTCCATCATCATCATTCCCAAAACAGATAAGGACATGACACTTGATATATTGTTTAATGGCTAAGTTAGTAGTTTGCTGTGAAGAAAATGTTTGATTGTAACACTGCTTGCTGAGAGCATACCTGACTCCATTTTGCAATATATTCAGCCTGGCATTAGTCATGTTCCTGTAAATCTGACACTCAGTCAACACCGTAGTGCTTATCGATGATAGCAGACTAGCCATATGCTGACCAATAACATGAGGGATGACCAATAACATGCCCTCCATGATTGGCAAAAATATCCCACTTTGTTCTGACCCAAATTCCATAGACTTACATATAAAATGTTACAAAGATATTCTGTTTTGTCAAGTCACCATGAGCCTGTCAAAATTAGACATAAAAAGAGGAGCCTGAGCCTAGCTCATTGGCTCTGTGTTCCACTTGGGCTAGATTCTGTCTCACTGCATCTGAGACCTCCCTTGCAGCCAGAGGCCCTGTCAGGTTTGCACACTGACTCCTCCCCACCCAGATGGCCCTCCACTCCTCCATCTTTGATGCTCCATTGTCGGTCACTAGCCCTGACCTCCGTACTCTAGGATCACCAGGTGGACTTTTTCTCCTCATTCACCCTCGGTCATCTTGTGGCCACCACCACCATCATAATCTAAGATCCTCACAGAGCTCATCCCCAGCTCACCGACTGCCTCGTAGACACCCAGCGTACTCGGCACTTGACCTCCCTCTCGCCCTTGTGGACTGCACTCCCCATCACCGCACCAGCACAGGACGCACTGCACCGCTAGTCCTATCATGACTTGTAAGCCCCCTTTTGTCCTGTGTGATTAAAGTAACTTGAAAGGCAAACCTGAGTCCTGTCCTCCTCCCGTGGGCTAGTGCACAGATTGCCTTGTAACTGCTTGGGCAGCCAAAAAAGGTGAATCAAACCCTTATTAAGTCATGCTTAAACTCTCTCTCTCCCCTTCCAAAACTTCCTTCCAAAACCCTTATTAAGTCATGCTTAAATGCTCTCTCTCCCCTTCCAAAACTTCCTTTCCCCTTTCTGTGCTCTGCATGACAGAATACTACAAGAATTGTAATATTACAGGGAACCAGCAGTTAGTGCAATGGCTATGTCACTAGACTCCCACGTAGTCGACCGCTGTTCGCGTCCCAGACCTGGTGGTTTAAAACTCACGCCGGGCGCGTGTGCGTGCATGCCCAAGATCCTGAGAGGAGAATGGAGGAGAAGGGATTGCGGCATGATCATCCCCCCTGGGGGGTGATTTCTCGCTTTCTGTCTCTATGTCTCTCTCTGTCTGTCTGGCGTGCACACGCGCCCTATAGCGAAAATCTCTCCAAAAAAAAAAAAAAGAATTGTAATATTACACAAACAAATTGGAAAACCTAGAAGAAATGGACAACTTTCTGGACACATATACCTAGATTAAACCAAGAAGAAACAGAAAGTTTGAAAACACCAATTACAAGCAATGCGATTAAATCAATAATAAGTAGTCTCCCAACAACAACAACAAAATCCAAGTTCCAGTGGCGTCATTCAGACTGATGAACACAGATGAAAATACCCTCAACAAAAACTAGCACATTAAATACCGACAGCACATGAAAAATATGACACACCTTGACCAAGTAGGCTTTATTTCAGGGATGCAAGGAGAGTTCAACTTATGTGAAACACTAAACGTAATATATTAAAATAGTGAAAGATAAAAATCATATGATCATATCAGTTAATGTAGAATTGCTTAAGGAAAATAAGAGAGGAAAAAAATGATTTAAAGATAGAATTCAGAGCCAACTGTGGCACAGTAATGGTAATGCAATATTCTGGAGACTTGAGAGAGTAGTTGCTGAACCCACAGTAGAAGGTCTCAGGTTCGCATCTTGAGGTCTTCCTGTACATGCTGGGCATGCACTTGTGCCTGTAATCTAGGCTGGCGAACACTGGGGGTAGATGAAGGCATGAAGACTCTATTTGGCATGACTCTATTTCTCTTTCATGGGATAAAAAAATAAATAAACTTTAATAAAAGACACAATTTCTAATTAACAGGGAATCAGAGTAGAAAGATTTAGAAAAATTGTAGCCTAGCCATATTGTAGAGAATGAAAGAGCATTTTCTGCAAAGGAAACCATAAATATAACCAAGCACCTACTTGATAAAGAGATTAGAGAGGATAAAATGGAGCCAAAGGCTGTTCATCAGCACAAGGGCAGAAAAACCCTACAGGCATTTCAGAGATCTTTAAAATTGCCCCTCCCATCATAGTCCCAGAGCTCTAAGGACAGAATGATTTCAACAGATGGGCCACTGCACAGGGCTACCTCAGGTCTTCTCTTTACATTCTGATTGGCTGCCTCAGCTATGGCTCAAGCAGACACCGATGCAGAAAGACCCACCACTTCAGAAGGTACAGGTTTTAAACCTTGGTAGCATCAGTGTGGTGCTAATTCTATGGGCATGGAGAATGAGAAAACTGTGGGGGCATGTTGTCCTCTACCTAGATGTCAAAGGATGTCGCAAATAGCCTGGAGACCCAAGCAGAGACTTGTCACAAGGGCAGAGCCATCACAGAGATCCTCTGTTAGGGCAATGCCAAGTGAAAATGTGGGATCAGGACCAAAACCACCACAGAGAGCTCCCCCTAAAGCCATGTGGAGTGGAGCCTTAGGAGCAGGGTCACTCCCCCACTCCCAAGACCCCAGACTGTAGAGAAACGTGCATGCAATGCTAGCCTGAGAGAATGACTGCTTGGACTGAGCCTAGCTAGCAATGCTATGGTGTGATGCTGCCTAAGGCTTTGGGAGCCCAGCTTTCACTTCAATGTACCTAGAAGGCAGCACATGAAATCAAAAAAGACTATTTTCTAGTTTTAAGACTTAGTGTTGTTTTCTCTGCTGGGTTATAGCCTCACTTGGAGCCTCTTACTCCTGGAATGGGGATGTCTGTCATGTCTGTTTCACTGTTGTATTCTGGAAATAGATAACTTGTTCAATTTCATAGGTTTGCAGTGGGGACAAATTTGTCTCAAGTCATGCATTGGCAGGCAAAGGGTAAAATGCTATTGTTCAAATGTGTCCTCCAAAAGTTCATGTGCTGGAAACTTCATTGCCAATGTAATAGTATGAAGAAGTCAGGCCTGGGATCAGCAGCTGGGGTAATGGCTATGTCACTGGACTCCCGTGTAGTCGATTGTGGTTTGAGTCCCGGACTCAATGGCTTAAATTCACACTGGGTATGTGTATGTGCATGCCCAAGATTCTGAGAGGAGAATGGAAGAGAAGGGATTGTGGTGTGGCCATCCCCCCTGGGGGGGGATTGATTTCTTGCTTTTGTCTCTCTGTCTCTTTCTTTCTGGCAAGTGCACACACTCTATAGTAAAAACCTCTCCCTTTAAGGAGTGATTGGGTCATAAGGAAGGAACCTTCTTGAATGAATTAATGCTATTATCTTGGAAGTGAGTTAGTACTGTAGGTGAGAGGACTGATTTATTGTGTTGTAAAAGTCATGACATTTTTTCTATGTTAAAATGTGCCATGACTTTTCCAGCAATCAGTAGTTTTTGCAAGATTGAGTTTGTTCTTGTGAGATTGCGTTGTTATCAAAGTAAGCTTGGCTTTCTCTTGCAGTCTCTTTCACATGTGCTTGCTTGCCCTTCCACCATGGGTGACCATGCCAGTGCCATGTTCTTAAACTCCCAGCCTTCAGAATCATAAGCTGAATATACTTCCATTGTTTATATATTATCAATCTGTGCTATTCCATAATAACAACACAGAAAGGACTAGATACATACCTTTTGAGACTGCCCCCTTGAGACCAGCAGTTAGCATAATGTCTATGTCGCTGAACTCCCATGTAGTCGACCATGGTTTGAGTCCTGGACCCAGTGGCTTAAATTCACGCCAGGCACATGTGTGTGTGTGTGTGCCCAAGATCCCAAGAGGAAAATGGAGGAGAAGGGATTGTAGCGTGGCCATCCCCCCAGGGGTGATTTCTCACTTTCTGTCTCTCTGTCTCTCTCTGTCTTTCTGGCAAGTGCACGTGCCCTATAGCAAAAACCTCGCCCAAAAAAAAAAAAAAAAAAAGACAAAACAAAACTGCCCCCTAATGGGCAAGACTGGTTTTCCTGGCCCCTGCCTTTCTCAGGAAAGCAGGTTTTTACAGTTCCTATTGGCCCATGGTTACATTTGGCTTGTGCTTACTTCTAAGAGATCACATTGGGTCAGGCACAGCCCAGAAAGAGTGTGTGGAGGTGGCAGCTCATATAACCAGGCCAGGTCCTCTTCACAAGTTCCGAAGTGGGTTTTTCAGGGTGGTAGCTCCTCGCAGCCACAGAAGAAACATGGCTGTCCTGGGCCTAGTGCTACTAGTAGCACTGCTCACCTTTTTCCTAGGAGTCTTAGTCTGGGTTGTCTGTGAGCACTTTCTCACTGCAGATATCCCCTCTGATGTGCAACATCCTGCCAAGTTGAGATTTCTGCATTGTATGTTCCTGTATGTGACAACATTGGTGAGTTTGTTCTCAGGCCTCATCATGGGTTGGATGCTCATTCTCTCTTTCTCTGTACATTTCCCCCGTTCCTTTTTCACTCCCCTTTCCTCTTTCTCTTCAGACTCCCCCAGGACAGACATTGCTACATCCTTGTATCTGCTATTCTGTTTCCTTCCCTTCTTTCCTTCCATCTTTCACCCCCTCTAAATCCCTCCCTTTCCTCCTTCAGCATCAAACATTTACTGAGTTCTAGTTGCAGAGTTCTTTTCTGAGAATTCAAAAACAAATTCAAGGGCTAGTAGGTGGCATGATGTTAAGGTACTGGATCCCACATGGCTGACTCCATGGTTCAAGTCTCAAACTCAGCAGCTTGAAAAACATGCTGAGTACATGTGTGCGTGTACTCAGAGAGAAGAAACCCTGAGAGAAGAATGGAGAAGAGATTGTGGTGTAGCTGTCTCCCCAGGGGGTGCAGGAGGGAGAGGATAATTTTTCACTTTCTCTGTCTCTCTTTCTCTCTCTGGTAAGCACATACACTATAGCAAACAACAATAACAAAACTAAAAGCAAACAAATGCAAGGCCAAGGGCTGATAGCTTGACAGAGACTGACACCTTTTTCATCACTGGGGCACTTGTTTGCAGGTGTTTTTTTCTATATCTTCAAGTCAGGGACTATCTTATTCACCTCTATAAACTATTCCAAGCACAGGGCCCAGAACCTGGTAGGCACTTACCACTTATTGATCAAGTCACGAATGAATTCACTAGCCTTTCAGAGTGGCCATAGCAGTCAGGCTCTGAGCAGGTTTCTAAGGTTGTGGGATGGGGATATACCAGCACACTCCTGGAGTTGCAGATTTGGAAATAACAGTTTGGTATCTTGCAGGAGGCTGGCAACTTGAGTTAACTCTAATGTCCCAACCGTGAGAGGAGATTTTAGAAGTCAGACAGCTCACAGAAATAACTGAGGATAGTTTCTGAGGAGGAGAAGAGGAGGATGTAAAGAAGTGGCAGCTGCATAGACTGCAGTCAGACTGTCTGAATGTGCATCCCAGCTCTGCTGCTCACGAGCTACATGATTTGACATTTACTTAATATCTCTGTGTCTCAGTTTTCTCATCTGTGAAATTAGAACAATCTTATCTATCTCATTAGTCAGTAGGAGAATTAGAGGACACGTAATAAGAGTAAATACAAGGGTGGGGAAGTCCTCAAAAAGCCCATGGAAAATACATGTAAAGAGAAAACTATGTATGGATTTCAAAATATTTGGCACCAAAATAAATTTGGACTTAAAATGGATTTTCCATGAACTTTTTTTTCTTATTGTAAGTTATTTATTGTAAGATAATTTACAAATATCTTGCTGTCTTTAATAATTCGAAGGACCAACAATTTCTTCTGACCAAGACAGCAATAAGAAAACCAAACTCAGCTGGCTCAATTTTCCTTCTTCACCTCTTATCTGAGGGTGAAACTTGATATCCATTAATCCAGAGCTGCAGCACCAGAGATAATTTCAATCAATTCTTTTGTGATGACAGCTTGGCGGGTGCGGTTGAATGTCAAAGTCAATTTGTCAATCATCTCAGAAGCATTCTTGCTGGTGTTGTCCATAGCTGTCATCCTGGCACTCTGCTCACTGGTAGTGGACTCCTTCAGAGAGTAGTAAATGACGTTAGCCAGATTATATTCTTGGTAATTCTGCAGCACATCGGCATCGACGTCATCATAGATACTCATACTTTCAGCACTTGCAATGGTAATAAGGGAAAAGATGGGTTTTTCTTCTGTCTTATAGTAGATAACAGACCTGAATCGATTACAAATGTTAGAGCCTTCATCAAACTCATATCCAGAATTCAGTAACTCAAGGGCAATGACAGATGCATCTCCAAAAGTAGGAGGCTTTCTTCCCACTTCTTTGAATGTCACCAGAAACTGGTCAGAATGAATCCTATAAAGTATGCCCCTGATTTTATCACCAATTCCAACGAGCATAACTTCTTTTCCCGCTGCAGTGAGAGCAGCCACCTCACTTTTCATCTGTTTAGCAACTGAGGAATGAATAGCACCACAGAGTCCTCGATCTGAGGACACACCAATAAGGAGGTGTTTCTTCTTGGCTTCAGGCACTTTAATATCAACTTTCTCATACAGAGCCAAAGCTTTCCCATACACGCGAGCAGGCTTCAACTCCCTTTCAGCCCGGGCATATTTTGCTGCTGCTACCATTTTCATGGATTTGGTAATTTTCTGGATGTTTTTGGTGGACTTTAGTCGCCTGGTAATATCTTTCAAAGTTGCCATATTTCGGACTTGGATCCATTGTGACTGCAGGGCCCAGGCCGACAGCCCAGCGACGCTCGCCCGAGAAAACATGGTGACACCGGCCTTGCTGAAGGTCGGGCTCCACGAACTTTTTGAAATACTCATGTGTATTTAGAAATGTTTGGTAAATAAGTAAAATATGTTTCAATGCTGCTAGGATTTTCCACCATGAGTATGGAGCATTTTTAGAGAAAAGAACAAGTCTAGTTTACAACTGCATAAATGCTACCAACCCAAGAAATAGGCTGTGGATGTTCTAAGTACTCGTTTTGTTTCCCCAGTCATAATCCTCCCTGGAGATGAGCTTATCTTAAGCCATTGGCTGTAATCCATTTGAGATTATAGGTTAGTTTGGGGCCACAGAACTAAAAACAATGGTATTCAGGTGGCCTAGATAAACAATTTTTTCCAACCTTCAATGCTTCTCCCTAGCCCACGAGTTAAGCATCTACTCTGAGATGAGTCTGTGGTTGGGTTGGGATGTCCCCTCCTGGCCTCTTCAGCACTGGGTTGTGCCATGGCACACTGCCTATCATGAGGTGACAGTAATAAGTTCGATGATATCCAAGTACTTAATGTTTATTTGGTTCTGCAAGACAGATAGGCAGTGGAGAGACAAGAAGCTTAAGGTGAACAAGCAAAAATCTAAAAAGTATTCTATGGCCTAGAGATCAAGAATCTAGTTTTGGTATCAGGAAACTCTGGGTCTGAGCCCCAAATTATTAGCTTTGGGTTTTTGAACCCCCTTTTTTTTCTCCTCTGAAAAGTGAGTGTAACAAAAGGGGTTGATGAGAAAGACATTAGCAGTGCAGAACCCAGCAGCAGGCTAAGAAAGGGAACAGTACAAAGACATTCTTAATAGTATGTGTATTAGGTCACTGAAGGCAAGATAGTCTTTCTTGAAACTATTATATATTTTAAAAGTTGCTATGAATGATTTCAGACTCAGTACAAACTATAAAGAATAATATAAAAAGCACTAAGCCAGATCCATGGCATGGTGGTTAAGGCAGCTGGATCCTACATGGCAGATGGCTTAGACAGGTTTAACATCACATTGTATTTAGAAGAAAAATATGAAGGCAAAGCATTAATGCGAAAAAAAAGTGATAGTATCTATTGAAGCTATTTTACAGTTTAATCAACTGGACTAGGGAGAAATTTTCCCATGTTGAAATATTCACTTTGTAAGCTAAATAATGTGATTGAATATATAAAAGAAAATGAAATTAAAAAAAAGAAAAAGAAAAAAATTCTTCTTCTTTTTCTCCTCTTTTTAAAAATTTGCTATAATGTGCACGTGCTCTCTGGAGACCAATGAGAGAGTGAGAGAGAGAGAGAGAGAGAGAATGTGAGAAATTACCCCCGAGGAAGGATGGCTATGCCACAATCTCCTCCCCTCAGAATTTTGGTCACATATGCATGAACCACTGGGTCTAGGACTTGAACTGTGCAGTCAACCATATGGGATCCAACTGTCTTTTTTTTTAAGAGAGATTTTTGCTGTAGAATGCATGTGCTCTCTGGAGAGACGGAAACAGAAAATGAGAAATCACCCCCTGCTGGGGATGGCCATGCTGCAATCCATTCTTCTCCACTCTCCTCAGAAGTTTGGGCATGTACACAAACATGCCTGGTGTGAGTTTCAAACCTCTGAGTCTGGGACGTGAACCACGGTCGACTACATGGGAGTCCAGCAACGTAATCATTACGCCATTTGCTGGTCCCATGGGATCCAGCTGTCTTAACCATCAACGCATCTGGCTGTCCCTGTTCAAAATTCTTTAAACAAATATTTACTGTTCTAGGTGCTGGAGACAAAGAGAATTGAGCTGTGATCTTTGTTCCAGAAAAGCATTGAGTCTGATGGTAGAGACACATGGGTGATCATATCCATGCAATAAAGCCTCAGAGGGATTCTGATGATGTTTGGGCAGAGAACAGGGCCTCCATGGAGGTAGCAACCACCTCTACAAGGGGGAGGAGACTGTGCCCCTCATGTCCATGTGAACGTAACCTCTGAGCCTGGATATTAAAGTCAGTTTGGCATCCAAGTGTCTTATCAGGTGGACAGAAGAAAAGGAGTAGAGGGAGACATAGATGAGCCCAGAGTGTGTTGGGAAACTTAGCATTAAGGAAGTCAGAGATGGAGCTATCCTGCACCAGTAAGAAGTGCTGCAACATTAAGGTACCCAGAGTTGAGTCAGTGAAAGTCCAAGTTGGCTCCCCATGGAGGCCTGGGATCTCCTCAGCTGTGGGTCAGGCAGTAGAAGAAGCAGATCACTTTCACCTTGCAGATCAGTTTGCTCTCTTTCAACTCAAGCTGGGAAAAATATTTTCGTTTGGAGTTCCTTTTGGTAGGAGGGCAGTCTTTTCATGGAGAGAATGCATTGGGCCATCCACCAGACTGAGACAAAACTAGTGGGTACAAGCAAGAGATGGGGTGGGACTCACATTTGCTAGAACCTACAGCCACATGGGTTGTCACATCCAATCCTCATGCCTTCCCAGGTTGGAGAGGGACCAAAAGATAGCCAAGGAGAGTGAGGCTGCTGGCCCATTGCCTTGGACATTTGGCTTTGCTTAATTCAATGACTTTCTCCCACTCAATCCCAAAACTGGGCCACCCTTTTGGGAAAATCCACCCCATTATTCAATCAAGAGCTTTGGGGAGGACAAGTCTGAAAATCCAAACCCCTTATCTGGACATAACCCAGGGTTTGTCAATTCCCAATGAGCCTGCTGACAATACAGGAGGCAGGTAAGAAACTGTGAACACATCTTAGCAATTGTTAAGTGTCTGGTAACATCTCCCATTCAGGTCCTACCTGTCCGATGCCTCACTTTCTTTCTCTTACCTCCAACAGGGGAATATATTTGAGAAGCTCGGAATCTGCTCCATGCCCAAATTTTCCTGTTTTGTACATGACATACTACAGAGAGCAAAGGAGAACCCGAAAGTTATAGTGACCAAACTGCATTTTGGGACGATCCCCGTGAGGCTGTTCCAGCCCAAGGCAGAGTCCTCCAGCCCTCGGCGAGGCATCATCTTCTACCATGGAGGGGCTGCACTATTCGGGAGCCTGGGTAAAGTGCTTTCCTGTGGCTTCATAAGGAAAAGCCCCATCTACATGCGTAACTTTGTCCATACCACCCAAAAGAAGCTTTGTGGAGTAACTCAAAGGGATCAGTAGTTCGAAATTTTGAGAGGCAGCCCAGACTAAAGGGTTTGGTTTGAGTCAGCAGGGAGTAGAGCAGTCTATATGAGAAAGTAAATTATTGTCTCTGTCAAGGTGGGGTCCGTGATGCTGTCATGGTGGGACTGTCATGGCACTGGGTGTTGACTCCTTTCATCCCTTACCGCTCAGAGACATCATCCCATCCTATGTGTTCTACAATAATCCTCCATCTGTGTATTTCCCTCCACCTCTCAATGTCACCAAGACCCATCTTCTTTTGCCTGACTCCCTTCACTCCCACACTCAGCAGGTGGCCTCCCTGCTTCACTCTCGCCCCATGCAGTCTAGTCCTCACCCAGCAACCAGATGTGTTTTTAAAAAGTGGAGCCAACAGGTGGTGTTGTGGTTAAGGCACTGGACTCCAGCATGGCTGACCATGGTTCGAGTCTTGGACCTGGAGGCTTGAAAAGCACTCCAGGTGTGCGTGCATGCATGTCCAACATCCTGAGAGGAGGATGGAGGAGAAGGGATTGGAGCATGGCCATACCCCCGGGGAGTTTGATTTCTTCCTTTCTGTGTCTCAGTTCTCGTTGAGCGTACTT